GAAAAACCTAGCACATCTTCAACTATTGTTTAATCAAAACTTCATTTTCATTGACTCAACATTTATCACTTAAATAAAGATGTAAAATAACCTTGCATGGCAAATGTTTACTCTGTACTAATGAAACTATGAAACAGTTCCTGCTCTCAAGTACACAGACAAGTCAATCAATGATGGACTACAGAACAGACTAGTGAGTGTCACAAAAAAATGCCCAGGGAACCACTAGGGGTGGAGGAAGAACTCCTGAGTCTCCCATTGGGCACTTAGTGCTTTCACTTTCACCTGTAAACCAGGAGACAATTATATGAATATTGTATGAATACACTGCTACGGGGAAAAGTATTCATTCAACAGATGCACACTACATACTCTGTACTAGCAATTGTGTTAAGAGCTGAAACAGGGAAGGACAAGACACATCCTACCAGGGCTCCGAATATGGGCAGGTGCTGAGCTAATGCACACACAAGGGTTGGGTACTGCCAGATATCACCACTCTAGAGCAAGCACCTGTCTCTCTAAATGAATAATCTCCAGCATGGTAAGAGTTAACTGTATTTCAAAAGGTGAAACAAAACTTTTTTGCTTTGTTATGATGCATGTCTCAAACTGGATCAGTGGTTCAGGCTGGAGTATGCATCAGAATAATCTGTGAAGCTCAGTAAGTGCTGATTCTAGGGCCCACCCAAAGCTTACTGCTTCAGAACCACTGGGGGCCTGGCAGTTCTGAGGTGCATGCCTAGTTAAGAATCCTTTAAAGGCTGATAAAGTAATCCTGAAACCAATGTCAACGCAAAAGTGGATGCTCCTCATTAATAAGAACTCAAAAATAAAGTAGAGCTAGTATAATACTAGTTTTTGGGTTTTTTGTGTGTGTGTGTGTGTGCCTATAAAACCCATCCAAGTGTTAGAAAGCTACTTTCTAATTAAAAAGACTTGCAGTCAAAAAACCAGAGTCAATAAACAAAAGGCACCATAACAGTGCTGACCTCAACGTGCAAAGGCCTGTTATGTGCTGTTACTGTATGCTGTATGTATGTGTACATAGGCATCTGTTTTCAGGGGAAGAAAAGCTGTTAAAGCCAATTAAGTTTATAAATTCTTGCTACTACTTTAATATTAACCTTTAAGTGAAAAATTGTTGAACACTGTTACAAATGTGGCAAACTGACATAGATGGTTTACTACACAAGCTTTAATGTCAAAGGGACTAGATCATAGCCCCAGTCTCACGTATTCGACCTATAACATTGTGCAATTCTCTTATCTGGGCCACAGTTTCTATACCTCAGGAAAATGGAAGTAACTGCTTCATTTACAGAGCTATCAAATGAAAGTGAGAAAACTATAAACCAACACCGAAGCCTGAATTATTGCTTAGCATTTACTTTAAAATCTAGTACAACTGCAATGTTTTTAATTAAAAACTCTGATACATGAATTTTTACAATGTATCTAGAAGCATCATTTAACACTAAAAACTTAATTTTTGAAAGAGTACACAACCAGGAGGGATACAGTGGCTCACACCTGTAATGCTAACAGTTTGGGAGGCTGAGATGGGAGGTTCACTTGAGGCCACGAGTTCGAGACCAGCCTGGTCAACTAAGCGAGACCCCATTTTTTTTTTTTTTTTTTTTTTTTGAGACACAGTTTCGCTCTTGTCGCACAGGTTGGAGTGCAAGGGCGCGATCTCAGCTCACTGCAACCTCCACCTCAAGCGATTCTCCTGCCTCAGTCTCCCAAAGTAGCTGGGATTACAGGTCCTTGAAACCAACGCCTAGCTCATTTGTTTTTAGTAGAAACAGGGTTTCACCATGTTGGTCAGGCTGGTCTTGAACTACTGACCTCAGGTGATCCACCTGTCTCAGCCTCCCAAGGTATAGGGATTATAGGCGTGAGCCACTGTGCCCAGCCAACCCCATCTAATAAAGAGTACACAACCACAAAGCACTGGGCCAAGTGCATTGTTTCCATGTTTGCAAGGATTTACCACTGAAATACTAGGTTGATGCAAAAGTTAATTTCTGGACTGTGAATTTTAAATCATTGTAACTAGGTTCAAACATATCTTTATTAATCAAAATAGGAACCATTACAATCAACACATTTTTGCCAATGAGAAATAAATTTATTCCTGTAACATAAAAATGTGTGCTTCAGGATTCAATGAACTCTTAGAAAGCATTTTCTGCATCCTGCTAAAGCATTTTCCCTGCAAAAAGTTGTCAAGATGCCAGAAGAAGTGGTAGTTGGTTGGCCAGAGGTCAGGTGTATATGGTGGATGAGGCAAAACTTTGTGGCCCAATTCCTTCAACTTTTGAAGTGTTGGTTGTGTGACATGCAGTCAAGTGCTGTCGTGGAGAAAAACTAGGCTCTTTCTGTTGATCAATGCCAGCTGCAGGCATTGTAGTTTTCTGTGCATCTTTTCAATTTGCTGAGCATATTTCTCAGATGTAATGGTTTTGCCAGGATTCAGAAAGCTGCAGTGAATGAGCCTGGCAGCAGATTACCAAACAGTGACCATGACCTTTTTTTTGGTGCAAGGTTGGCATTGGGAACTGCTTTGGAGCTGCTTCTTGGGCCAACCACTGAGCTGGTTGTCGCTGGCTGCTATATAAAATCCACTTTTTGTTGCACGTCACAATCCCATTGAGAAATGGTTCGCTGTTCTTTCGTGGGATAAAAAGATACTTCAAAAGAACAATATTTTTTATTTTTGCTCGGCTCATGGGGCACCCACTTATCAAGCTTTTTCACCTTTCCAATTTGCATTAAATTCCAAACGACCCAAATAACTGTAGATAGTGAATGCTGAGCTCTTCTGAAATTTTTCATGTAGTTTGATGACTGCTCTCGATTGGTCATTGTCAGCTTCCCTTTGCCCACCACCAGGCTCCTCCTCTTTAAGGCTCTCTTCTCCTTTGCAAAACTCCTTGAGCCACCACTGCACTGTATATTCCTCAGCAGTTCCTGGGCCAAATGTGTTACTGATGTTTTGAATTGTCTCTGCTGCTTTATGACCCATTTTGAACTCAAATAAGAAAACTGCTCCAATTTGCTTTTTGTCTAACATCATTAGACAAAAAGCATAGTCTAAATATACATATCACTATCTAAAATAAACAGCAAGTAATAAGTCATTAGCAAGAAAACATAAAGTGAGAAATGTGCATTAAAGTGGTCCACATTTACTTAAGAATGTATTGCAGGCCAGGCACAGTGGGTCACACCTGTAATCCCAGCACTTTGGGAGGCCGAGCAGGGCGGACCACGAGGTCAGGTGATCGAGACCATCCCGCTTAATGTGGTGAAACCCCGTCTCTACTAAAAATACAAAAATTATCTGGGTGTGGCGCCGTACACCTGTAGTCCCAACCACTCGGGAGGCTAAGGCAAGAGAATCGCTTTAACCGGGGAGGTGGAGGTTGCGGTGAGCCACGATCGCACCATTGCACGCTAGCTTGGGCAACAGGAGCGAAACTCCGTCTCCCCACCTCCCCAAAAAAAATGTATTCCAACATCAAACAGCACATTTCAATATAACCTTTCTGGTTCTCACCCACTTCACCTCTAAAATAAAGAAAACCTTTCCGCCAGAAAAAATTTGACCACATTCTCTTAAGGCCTGTCCAATTTCAAGATCTGTGCTTCACCATGACTAAACGAACCTAGCTTTTTCCCCACTTTACAAAGTAAGAGCAAGGAAGACGGGGAAATAGGTATGTTTAAAACATTTCTTATCAAATAGAAATATTATAAGATAATGGGAAAAAAAATACTGAAGTTAGAGTCATCCTAACAAAAGCCCAAATGGGTACTGTGTAAAAAAAAAGTTAACCCATCCATTCTAGAGTCAGTATTTCCTCTTAAGAAGCAAGAAAACTGAAGAAAAAAAAAATCACTTAGTACAAGATCCACAACCTGTAGTCTCAACACTTCAGAACATTTAGGATAAATAAGCACCTGCACCTTTCCAGGCAAGTCAAAACCACAACAGAAGAGAGAGAAATATGTAACGAAAACTTACAGCCCAAGAGTTTATGATCAAGACAGGCCATTTTCTTCAAATAAATTTAAGCAATGCTGCTAAAAGCTGCTTTACACATTCCTACATATTACCATTTACTACTTTCATATCTCGAGGAGGGCATGGAATTACACAAGATCTGGATCGTATGTTCATTAAGAAAAAATTACAGATTCTAGGGTGTTTCAACACTTCACCTGTGATGGCCAGAGCGGACGCATCTTTGGATCTTTAAAACCCTAAATTAAAAACTATCTGTACCGAGAAAGGCCAGAATAGCTCAATTCCCACCCAATACAACCCCCACTTCCGACCTACAGGCGCCCTACTGAGCGGCTGGGCGAATCCGCGGTCGCGCTAGTCAGGGCCCCGCTTCTTCCATCAACAGAGACTTTGCCAGCCTCCCAGAAACCTCGGTTAGGCGGAAGGCCGGGGTGGAGGCCACCACTGCGAGGACAGTACCCACCCAGCCGCGAGGAGTTCGCGGTTCCCCCGAGGGGCGGGCCTGGGCCCGGGTAACCGTGCGCGACATCACGAGTTTTTAGGATATCTACCTTTTCGGCCTCTAGGCCCTGGCGCCTGCGCCATTTAAGCCACAGATCCGCCCGCCCCGCCGCGACCGAGCCCGGGAGCCGCCGCAACCGCCGCCCGGGGCCCCGTAGCCCAAGGGCCGGATGGACCGAGCGCCGGCCGCGGCGTTCCGGTGCGCGCGCGCGCCTCAGCCAATCGCGTGCTCGCCCGCCCCCCGCCGCCGCGGCGAGGCTGGCGCTGGGAAGAGGAAGAAGAACATTCGCCCTCCTCCTACCAGCGCGCGGGCGGCGGCGGCGGCGGCACCGGGGTCACGAACTCTGACCTTTCACTGACAAAAACAATAACAAACCCCCCCTTCCCCGCGACACCGGCGGCGCCCCCGGGCCCGTCCCCGCCACCCCGCAACCACCTCGGCATCTCGTCTCTCGCCCGCTGCCCCGCGAGCCCGCGGCCCCCGGGCTCCCGCCATCCGCCGACGCCGGGAGCCGGGGCTCCCCGCGCCCTGCCCTCCGCGCCGGGGGCCGCCCGCCGCAGACACGGGACCCGCTTCGAGGCCGCTTTGGCGCCAAACCCTAAGGTAAGATTGAAAAAGGGTCGGGCGGGCTCGGGCCAGCGGCGGAGGGGGCGGGCCTGGCGCGGGGAAATGGAGGCGCCGCAACGACGGCTGAACCCGACCCTTTTACCTTTGCCACGGGGCGGCAGCGGCGGCGGCGCTCGGCGCTTTGCATAGTGGGCCGGGCCGCTCCCCTTCCCTCCCCGCCCGCGGCCGGACGAAGCGAGCGGGTTCCCCCTGACCGGCCGGGCCGGCGCAAGGGTGGGGGCGGAGGGGGAATGGCCGCGGCCCCGCCTCACAGTTGGCCCTCCGCCAGCGCCGCCATTTTGTTCTCGACGGAGATGGCCTGGGCTGGGCGGGCTCCCTTCCTCCTTATATTCCTCCGCCCTCCTGCAGTCCCTTATTCCCTCTCTCCTGGGTTCTTTGCCCCTTCGCTTCTAGTCCGCCTTTGGCGGCCGCCGTGGCCCAACCGCCGTTTTTTCTGAAGGGGAGGGCAAAGGGAAAGGAGGAAGGCGGGTGCGAGGCACCACCTCGTGAGCGACGGGTGGGCCGACCAATTGGCGCCCGGATAGGAGGGTCGGGTTCTGTGGCACCGCCTCCATAATCTTTGTTGATTGGGTGAGGCAGAATAGGGCGGTCCCTATGGGGCGCGGGAGCCCTGGCGGGGCGGGAGTAGGGGCTGGGGCGCGGGGGGCGGGGCCTGGGGCGGGGCACAAGGGGCGCGGCCCTGGGCCCTGGGGTGGGCGGCTTCCCTCCTACTGGAACGCGTCCAGAATGAGTACTAATGAACAATAGTATTAAAGGTGATGCGTTTGGAGTCCACGATGAGGTCTCGAGGGAAGAGATTTTCGGAACGCGGACAAACCCGTTTCAGGTCTCCTGCTCGTTATTTCGGAGCGGCTATGGCGAATCCCCAAATGAGGCTCAATTTTATCCATTGTAAAATGGGGAGCATGGGCATTCTTGCCAGGCTGGACCTCCCTTTTCAGCATTGTTTTTGGGGCTCTGCTCAGAAAATGGAGTCAAGTCTACTTTGCTAGCCTCAAAGTCACTTGAAAATGGTATTACTGTTAAAAATGGGATTACGGCCACCAGGAGAGGCAAGCTTAAGGGTATTAAGGGCTTGAGAGAGCACGATTCGGGGGTGATTCTCTTTTCATTCTTTCACTGAATACATGTTTACTTAGTTTTAGGCACTGGGGATACATCTGGAGAACCAGCTGGACGAGACCCCTGCCCTCACTAGCGTTGGGGGGCTAGGGGGTAAATAGACAAAGAAATAATTCCAGAGAGTGGTAAGTTCTATGAAAGGAAAAAACCAAATGACCTGCTGAAGACCTCAGGCACTAATTTAGATGGAATGGTCGGGGTGACCTCTCTGAGGAAGTGATGTTTGAACAGAGGAACCCAAGGAGGGAATGGCATTCCAGACAGGACAGCCTGTGTAAGGGCCCCGGAGGAAGAGCATTTGATGTGATTGAGAACTAGCTACTTGTGGCTGGAGAGTTGGTTGGAACTAGTTAATTGTGCATTATCCCACTCCAAGCCAAAGGCTGTAAAATATAGCAACGGTAGTGAGGAACAAATCTTCAATGTAATAATAAAGTCGAGGAAAATACGGCCTTCATACGAATTGCTGGTGAATATATGACTTGGGAGGAGGGCCTCGGAAACTCACTTTAGTTCCAGATGCAAATCCTTCGTCAGCCTCTTATATACATCTTGAGTTCTTCAAATATTTCCTGAATGCCACATATACTCCAGGCACTGCGCTAGGCTGAGAATACAAAAATGACGAAGACACTGGTGCTCAAACATGTGAACATGTTTTTTTTTTTTTTTTTTTTTTTGAGACCAGGGTCTCACTCTATCGTCCAGGCTGAAGTTGAATATAATTCTCTGTGTACAAGTTCTACACACACACACACCCCTTCTCACACTCACTATCTCTCTCTTTTTTCTTTCTGGAGCTAAAGAGGTATTTATACACATACATACACAGACATAAAATGTTTCAGTGTTGTGATTAGCAACTCCCAACTTTTACTAGTAGTGTGATTTTGTGTAAGTTACCTTTCCTAGCCTCAGTAACCTTGTCTGGATAATAATAGAACCTTCCTTCTAGAACTGAAGATTAAATGAGTTAATGTAAATAATAGAGCTTAGCAAAGGGCCTGACATATAGTAAATACTCTATAAGTAGAGTTATTGTCATTATGAAGTACTGGTATAGACATTGGACTAGTTAAGTGATAGAAACAATGAAATTTTTAGGCAGTGTGGTGTAGGGGCAAAAACAATAGATAGATGTTCTGAGATTCTAGTTTTGGCTCTATGCTTTCAACTAGCTACTTGGCATCCAGGACAAACGTTTAGAAAATAAAATAGTGAAACTAAATAGTACTAACCAAAGTATAGGGTGCTTTATGATTTACAAAACTCTTTTCAGGCAGTATGTTGTTCAGGCTCCACTAGAACCTACATAATGGCAGGGGCTCTTTTTCTGCTTTATGTTTAAAAACCTCTCCAAGGCTTTTGATTATTTTCTTATCTGTGTACCCCTAACTCCTGTGCTCTGGACACACTGGCCTACCTTCAACTTCCTTGACCAGTGTAGCTTACCTTCTCACCTTACGCCCTTTCACAGGCTGTTCCCTCAGCCTGATATATTCAAATGTCTGTCCCCTACCCCTGCGTCCTCCCACCCTACCTCAGATATTGGCTTAAGCATCACTTCTTCAGGGAAGTCCTCCCTAATTCCCATTGCCAATCTAAATCAGATTCTTTTTATTGTGTTTCTTTTCTTTATAACCTTTATTTCACTTTGTAATTATACACTCCATTATGTGATTATTTGATTAATGTCTGTCCTTACCACACTGTAAGCCAGGAGAGCAGGAATACATTTTGTTCACCATTACTTACCCTGCACTTAGAAGAGTGCCTGGCACTATTTGTTGAATGAATTGTTGATAATTTATGATGTCACTGATAACTAAGTTGCTGTGCATTGATGCAGTATCCACCTTTTATGTGAGCCTCTTTGGCAATTCAGATAACACTGCCAGCAATAAAAAGCCTGTTAAGGTATTTGGTTGTATTTAGGAAGTGCTTTCTGTTAGATATGCCACTGCCTTGAGACATAAATATTGAATAAAATGACCTGTTTCAATCATTTTTCCCACTATATTGATCTTTTTATGATTGAATTATAAATTTAATTGCATGAAAGTAAGTTCATATGTGAAGAAATAAATAACCCAAACATCCTTATGTTATTTAACTGAAGAAACAAAGCACCAAACTAACATGATTTTCTTGAAATCAAATATTCTGATTTTTGTTTCACTATCACAGGGAATTGGAGAGCAAGGAAGAAGCCTCCAGTGGGTTCACAGGGAGTTGGGAGTTGAAAGTCTCTGTAGCCATTACTTTGGGATATTTATCCTTCCAGAGATAAATTTATTCATTTAATGAAATTATTGAAAATCATCTTTTAATTGCTTTACCAAGGCTAAAAGCAAATTTTGTAAAGTATATATCAAGTTGCTACTCCAAAGTGTGGTAAAGAGAACATTTGTATTGACTTATTTTATATTGTAAAACTTTTAAAATAAGATACCGTTAGGGTATTTTAAAAATAATAATAGTTAATTTTTGGATTTTTTTTTTTTCTGTCTTGCTCAAGGATTTCTGGTATCACTTGTTCAATTCAACACTTGATTCGTTGAGCTAATTACTCAGGATAACCAAAGAACTGATAGTTTAGTAAAACAGCTATATATTTTTTTACACCATTAAGTTACTCATTTATTGCTTTCAGTAGCTGTATTCACAGTGAACTTGAAGTTTTGTTTTCATGATCATTCCTTTATAGAAGAAAATCTCTATGCGTAACAACCTTCTCACTTTATGAAGTTGGCTGGGAAGTTTTAGCATCTGTCTCCAAGGAGTCATGTGGCAGGGCAGTGCAGTGACAGAGAGCTTGGGGTATGAAGCCAGAAGTACCTGGCTTCAGAACCTGGAGTTTGTAGATTCTCTGAGGCGTATAGTTCCCCATTTGTCAAACAGGGAGGTGGTAGCCAGCGTTGAGAATGGGGCCAGAAGTAGAGGATACTTGTTTTCTAAATGACTTTGAGAACAAGGGAGGTGAGTCTTTGTGGAGCAGCCCTGTTTTCAGCCATGGCACTGAGCCACTGGCCTCCTGTGTCAGTTGCCTGAGTGTCTCCACATTTTGAGGACCTTCCATTGGGATTTTTATTGTCAAGTTCTCTTATCTGTGAGCCGTATGCTCCTTTAGTCCCAAAGCATCTCCTATACAAGTATCACCTTAATAAATATCACACGGGGAGTCTGTGAAGGGATCCTAGAATCTCAGAATTGGAAGTGGTCTTAGACCTCAAGTTCAGCCTCATACTTGATGCAAGAATCCCTTGCCGGATTTTTGTTTACCTCTTTTTACTTTATTGTTAACTATGAGGGCCTTAAATGATACTGCCTTTTTTCTTCCCTGTGTGATCATCATCTTTAACCTATTAGATACATTTGTGCCCCTGTCACATGTTGTAAAAGATAACATTCTTCCTTATTTGTTGGAGGTTTGCTTGCCTTCAACCTAACATGCCAGAGGCTGAGATTCTCTGTCATTCTCTCCCATCCTGCCATTCTTTTCCCCAGATCCCACTACTGCTACCCCAGATAGCAGGCCTACTCCCCATGCTCACTTCAGGTCCTGAGTGCTAGAGAGTAAAGCAGCAGGAGCTCTATACCAAAAGGAATAACTGCCCAAGAACAACAGCTCAACTAGCATAGCTCACAATGATGAGGAGAGGGAGTGAGTAGAGGGATGAAAGCCCATCAGTGCATTGGCATAGGTATTTGTTAAGGGGACAGTAAATGTAGTTGCAGACCCCTGGTACCTGAAAGTCTTAGAATAGAGGGATGGGAGGTGAATTGTTAGGAAAGAAAGGGAATAGGTTAGCTCAGACACTTGACTGTTCTTTCTGAGTTACCTTTAGACTCCAGGTGGCCTGTAGTGAAGAAAATCAGCCTCGGGCAAAGCGTGATTTTTAGGGGCAATAAAAAGTACCTCCTCCGCTGTAATAAGAGGCCTGAAGTCCTTTAATAGGAGGCGAAACTTTGTATTCCATAATTTTTAACAGTAACCCCAAAGATTTTTATCCCTGAAATGTTAACATATAGATGGAGAGGAATTTCATTCCAAGAGTCCAAGTGTAAAAGGACGTTTCCCCCTGTTTGGGTTAATGAGAGGTGTGAGAAAAGGTCTTGGGGCCTGGAAAGTGGAGTGACTGCTACTGAAAAGTGAAGAGGAGAAATGAGAGACTGGTGGGGCTAGACTCAAGCTTTGAAGGCTTCCTGTTTTACAGGGAGGCACTTTATTTACCTTTGTTGTTTGTATATTAATAAAAGGTATGCAGGAGAAAAAAGTTTCCTACCTGACTGCCCACCCATGTTTCTTAAAAGGAAAGATAAACAACTGAGGCTGGATGGCTCTTGAGAAGGTACACAGTACTAGCAGACTTCATGCTGCATTTTCCCCAGTGGTGTTGTACAGTGAATCTGATTAGCTATTATTTGTAGAACACTTTGGAAATGTCATTTGTACCACCCTCATTCTTGTCCCCTGTCTCGCCATTATGGTGTCTATAATAATACATCTTTTTATTAGGTTGATAAGATGACTGGCCCTGGAATTATTGAAAAATCATCTTTTAATTGATTGCTTTACCAAGACTAAAAGCAGATGTCACAAAGTATATATCAGCTCTTAACTGGAAAGGCTAATAATTAGAATGTGTTGTTGTCTTATTTAATATAATACAGACTTTTTAAAATAAAATTTAAATTTGTAATGTATCTCTTTTCTAAATAAACAATGTACTTATTAAAGTAAAAATTAACAACAGAAGTTACACATAGTTAATTTTTAAAAACAGGAATATTTTCAAACCAAGAAAAGATAGCAGTGCATCAAAAGGCATGTGTAAAAATGTTCATAGGATCAGATGTAATCGTTTCGCCAGGATTAAAAAAAAAATGTTCAGGCCGGGCACGGTGGCTCAAGCCTGTAATCCCAGCACTTTGGGAGGCCGAGGCGGGAGGATCACGAGGTCAAGAGATCGAGACCATCCTGGCCAACATGGTAAAACCCTGTGTCTTCTAAAAATACAAAAATTAGCTGGGCATGGTGGCGTGCGCCTGTAGTCCCAGCTACTTGGGAGGCTGAGGCAGGAGAGTTGCTTGAACCCGGGAAGTGGAGGTTGCAGTGAGCCGAGATTGTGCCACTGCACTCCAGCCTGGCGCCTGGTGACAAAGTGAGACTCTGTCTCAAAAAAAAAAATGTTCAGAGGAGTACTAATCATAAGGGCTCCAAACTAGAAACAATCTAAGTGTCCATCTGCTATAGCATGGAGAAATAAATTGGGCATAGTCATACATTAGATTACTATAAAACAATGAAAATGGATTCACTACTCATGGTTATTATAAAAATAATGTTGGGCAAAAAAAGCCAGGCACACCAAAAAGTGTATTTGTCAGGAGAGGGAAGAGAATTTAATGACTATGGGAGGGGTGTGAGAGGGACTTTTGGGGTACTGATAATGTCCTGTTTTCTGATATGAATGGCACTTACATGTGTATTCTGTGTGTTCAGTTAGTGAAAAATCATCAAACTGTTCATTTATGATTTGTGCCTTTTTTTTTTTTTTTTGAGATGGGAGTCTCCCTCTGCCACCCAGGCCAGAGTGCAGTGGTGCTATCTTGGTTCACTTTTGAACTCCCAGTTTCAAAAGATTCTTGTCCCTCAGCTTCTTGAGTAGCTGAGACTACAGGCGTGTGCCATCATGCCCAGCAAATTGTTTCTATTTTAGTAGAGACAGGGTTTCACCATGTTGCCCCGGCTGGTCTCGAACTCCTGAGCTCAGGCAGTCCACTCACTTTGGCCTCCCAAAGTGCTAGGATTACAGGTAGGAGCCACTGCACCTGACTGATTTGTGCTCTTTTGTATTTGCATGTTGTAGTTAAGTAAAAAATTTTACTTAAGATAGTAAAATTATTTTTACTATTTTAATTAATGTGATTATTGTTTAGGTTAAGTTTTAAGGGAAGAATGTGTTCAGAGTTCTAAAACTGCCATGGTTCTACCTGGGTGGAGCAGCCTCAGAAGTTTCTGTTAGCAATACTGAAACATAACTCACGTATTAGGAATTAGTGGTTGTGTATATTATTAGATGATCTAGCTTATTGATGTAAGCAATTTTTTCCCTTCATTTTTTCTGTCACTTTTTTTTCCATCCCTCCTTGACTTCCTTTTTTCTGGGAAATTATTTTGAAGGACACTGTGATCTAGAGGAAATACTGGGATTTTAGAGTCAAAGAGTCCTGAGTTGGAATCCTAACTTCATCACTTACTAGCTGGATGAGTTGTAACTGCTAAGTCTCAGGTTTTTCCATTTGCATTGGTGGAGCTGATACTACATACTCAGAAAGTATGCTAAGGATTAAATCATGCCTAGTTTGATTTAAAACACATCATGGACGTCCAGAGGATTTATCTTGCCTTTTTGAATCCATCTACCCTGGCTTGCACTAATAGATATGAAGAAAGTCCGCATCACCCTTATACCTGGGCTCTTGGTAAGATGACAGAAAAATCATCCACAGTATACAATGGCTTTTTTAGGGGAAGTATCCACACAGCAAATTGTAGCACTGCCCTGGTACTGTTAATACATAGGAAGTCCATTTAGGTGAAAGCCACTTCTCTTTCCTACTAGTCACTCACCTGTCCTTGCCACTCCCAGCATGTACATATGCCCTTTTTTACAGTCTAGACTTTGAATATGGAAGAAACACCTTTCCTATGGAAGGGCACAATTGACAAGAAATTACCTGACCCTAAAGCTAAGTAAACTTTGAGTCTAAGTAATAGCTGGCTTTCCATTGACAGGAAGTATACCTAAACTTGACCTTAGAGGCATCCCAGTGAGGATCTTTACTATTGTTGCACATTTGTATTACACTAAACCTGCCACTTGAATTTCATTTTCTCCTTTCCAGTCTTGATCTATGATTGCAAGTTTCAAGCTATGTATTTCTTATTTTTTATCCTCTCTCAGGCTATCTAAATTCTTCTGTTTTTATTTTCCCATGAATATGAACAGACTTCTGACAATCAGAATTAATTAAACTTATACTGAATACCTTGTACCTGTTAAGAGTTCTATGCCCAGTAATATTTTGCAAGTAGTTATTAGGCATTCATTTATTTTAAAATATTTCTAAGATTTGATTCTAATTTAGCCCCTTCATTTTGCCCAGTTTTACAGTTTAACAGGGTGAATTACAAATTTTTTGTGCATGAGTTTATTTTATTTTTCATTTTTAAATTTTTAATTAATTTATTTTTTTGAAACAGAGTTTCACTCTTGTTGCCCAGGCTGGTGTGCAGATGGCTCAGTCTCAGCTCATTGCAACCTCTGCCTCCTGGGTTCAAGCAGTTTTCCAGTCTCAGCCTCCTAAGTTGCTGGGATTACAGGCACCTGCCACCATACCCAGCTAATTTTGTATTTTCAGTAGAGACGGGGTTTCACCATGTTGTCCATGCTGATCTCAAACTCCTGACCAGGGTGCTCGGATTACAGGCATGAGCCACTGTGCCCAGCTGCGTATGTGTTTTAATACTTCAATGTGTATATAGTTAAATCTCATGTGAGCCTTATGTGAAAATGAGAGACCTATTCCTAATCATAATACACATTTTACAGTTTGAGTTACTTTCAAATTTCTTGGAGAAAGCAAAAGTGACACCATCACCTTTCACCAGTAATAGCTACAATATATTGCATTTCTACTATGTCCCAAGCACAGTGAGTACACATTTAAGATGTAATCTTTACAATAACCTCATATGCTCAGTATCAGAGATATCAACTTAGTGCCTGAGCCTTAGAACCCGATATAGTTGTTTAGTAAAGAAATACCAAGACAATAGATACTTTGCATGTTATATAATTATAAGCCATGTAACAAATATAGATGATATGAATCAGTTGATTGTGGAGGGAAAGGCAGGCTCACTCATTTCTGTTAATGACAGAGCCTCCTTGTTCCAGGACTTGTTCATTGTATCTGAAACTGGAGATTCAGGTGTTTCCAGAGCCCAGCTTTTCGCTGCAGTGAAGTCTTCACCCTACTTTGCTAAAGAAACTCTGGTTGCAAGGTTTAGTTAGTTATCACTTTGTGAGCCTAGAAGAGCTAATTGAAAGTCATAGTTGTGTTCTCTGCTTCTTTGTTGTTGATGGGGTGGTATTGATCTACTTGGATTTGAAAGAATTTCTTATAAAACCTGTCACATGAGGCCAACCAATTATTATTTACTTCCATCTTTCTGTGGTCTGTATTACAATTTTTTATTTTTTTCAATGAGTTCTCACAATGTTGCCCAGACTGGATATGAAACAGTTTTTATATACTTTGCCCTGTTGTTATTTGTGTGCTATCCAGGAAAAACACACTACTTTAAGAATCTGCCTTTATCTGTAGACTTTACGGTTGTTAGCACTTCCTAACTGGCCTCCCATCTGCAGTTTCTGTCTTTTCTATCATTTCCATGCTGCAGTCTAAATTTTTTTTTTTTTTTTGAGCTCCAGATATGAGCATCATTTTTCTACCAAACTCCTGATAATTCTCCATTGTCTACAGTGTCAGCCTCCCTTTTTCCCCGGTCTCTGTAATAATTCCACACCACAAGCCAGGCATGGTGGCTCACGCCCATAATCTGAGCACTTTGGGAGGCCAAAGCGGGTGGATCAAGAGGTCAAGAGATCGAGACCATCCTGGTCAACATGGTAAAACCCCGTCTCTACTAAATACAAAAAAATTAGCTGGGCATGGTGGTGCGCACCTGTAGTCCCAGCTACTCGGGAGGTTGAGGCAGGAGAATTCCTTGAATCCAGGAGGCAAGAGGTTGCGCTGAGCCGAGATTGCGCCATTGCACTCCAGCCTGGGTAACGAGCAAAACTCCATCTCAAAAAAAAAAAACAATTCCACACCGCATTGCCTGCCATTGCTCAAATACGCCATTCTTCCTCATACTTGCCAGTTTTGTATGAGCTGTCTTCTCTGCTTATAACTCTCTCCTCATCCACCTGTCTTTCTTGGCTAAATTTTCATTCTTCCTTCAAGACCTACTTTAAATAATTCCTCTTCCGTAATGTTTTCATTGGTTCTCACAGGCAGAGAGAAATGCTTCTTCCCTGGGACACTCGTAGCATTTACTTTACGTAGATACTTCCGTCTGTTTCCTCCATAAGTTCGTCAAGGACAAGGACTGTTTATTCTCTTCCTCTTTGTTGTTAATTCTCAGCAGTCAGTTCATTGCCTAGTTCATAGCAGTTACTTAATAAGAATTGATGGAGGGGTTGGATTTGGTTGGTAAAATCACCAGAGGAAGATCTTCTGTAGCACTTTTTTTTTTTAACTTAATATACTCAGTTTTATAGCTCTTTTGGTAGCTAATCAGGTTCTTTTCCCCTAAACATTAATGTGGGGGTGGGAGGCAACCTTGCAAAGTTAATAAGCTGAATGGTTCAAGTACTAGCCTTTAAGACTCAAGTTTCTATACCAAGAGTAAGTTTAGTGTTCCGTTCACAGTGCTTATTAATACAATGTCTTCTGTATAGTAACCACTTAATGTTAGTTACTGCTGTTAGTGTTATGCTTGGTTTCAGGAGCCAAGAAAGTTGTTTTTAAAAGCTTTATTTCTGTGCTTTGTAGTATCAAAACAGTATGGTTTTTTTTCAGATTTAAATTAAAAAATTATATTGTATTAGTGAAGATAGTTATTCAAACTACATATAGCCACAACTCGCTGTTACTTGGAGCCTCTTACTCTAGAGGAACATCTCCTAATTGATAACCACTGCCTGGTAGTACGTTTCTAAAGATGTTTGACCTTCCTTCTCACTGTGTGATCTTTCTGTCTCTAGGACCGCCTATGACTGCGGTAGCAGTGAGAGAAGCTCTCAGGTGAGAGTCTTATCCCCTGATATTACCTTTTTTTTCTGGGTGCATTTTAGAGTTAAATGTTCACCCTGCCTCACTTCCTGACGTCACTTGAAGATTTTGTTTTACTTTTTACATTGCGATATCCTGGAAGAAAAAGCCTCTACCTTCCTTTTTTATATATGAGAATAGGATACGGTTTGTGACTTATTTTCAAAAGTAATAGAAAATATTTTTTGAAACTACTTCTCACTTACCTCCTCTGACTGGATTTAAATCTTTATTGAAAGCACTTGCTTTAACATAGTTTCTCTTTCAATTTCTCTCTTACTCTTAGTCTCATTTTTTGTCTCTGCTTGTTTTTCCAGAAGGTGCACATTCCTCCTTGTTCATTTTTAGCAGCTTCCAAAGCTGCTGTTGATGATGCCTGACGATGCTTTGAAGGCAGAAAACCAACAGTGAGATCAAGAATTGTAAGAATTCAAGTGTATAAGGAAAGGTTGCTGCTCAATTCAAGTGTATAAAGAGAGGCGTTTAAGATGATCCAGGAAGTTGGTGTGGGAGAAAAAGGTGGGGGGCACTCATCCTATCACATAGCAAGACTTATGCTGACATTGCAATAAAAAAAAAAGAGAGACAAAGAGAACAATAGTGGAATAGAATAGAGAACCTATAGTTATATCCACATACATGGGAAAAAGGGATATGGCAGAAATTGCATTGCAGATCAATGGCGAAAAGGATAGATTTTCCCCATGTAGATAATCCATTTTCCAGAACTATTTCTAGAACAGAAAATGGAAAATGGATTATCTACATGGGAAAAAAACTAGTTGGATCCTTTCTTCTCCTCGGATTCAAGAATCAATTTGCAGATGGATTGAGGACTTAAATATGAGGGGCAAAACTCTTAAACATTTCTAAGAAAATACATGCAATTTTATTTATAATCCTGGAATAGGACACAATTTTCATAAATTAAAGTACAAACAATAAAAGAAAATATGGATGAATTTAACCTTACTAAATTTAAGGACTTCTGTTAATCAACAAACACCTTAAAGAAAGTAAACAGATGAGCCGGGTTTGATGGCTCACGCCTATAATCCCAGCACTTTGGAAGGCCAAGGCAGTCAGAGGCAGGAGAATCTCTAGAACCCGGGAGGCAGAGGTTGCAGTGAGCGAGGTAGCATGATTGCACTCCAGCCTAGGCAACAAGAGCGAAACACCATCTCAAAAAAAACAGATGAACCACAGAGTGGAAGAAGTTATTTATAACTTATCAACAAAGGATTAATATCCAGAATACTTAGCTATTCTAAACTTAAACAGATTTACTGCTGCTTCTTTGTGACTTAAAATCTATAGTCACTCATTGTTAGATTTATCTTAGGATCCAAGCTCTACCTTAAGTTGATTGATCTGCAAATTTAGTGTTTAAGTGAATTATCACAGAAAGTTTTCTGTACTAGGCCTCCATTAAATCAGTTTTTCATCTATAAAATCCACTTGGACTGAAAATTTGATAGATCAAGCCACCTCTTTTAGGGAACCCAATAGAAAAGATATGCCTTTCTAGTACGTTGTTTTTATACCATTCAATAATATTTTCCTAACAGTATTTCTCTAATAACTCAAATTTACATATTTCTTACATTGAACTATGGCTCTGTTAACATCTAAAAGTGATAAAAAGTATTAGTTGCAACCACATGTTTAGATTTTAGTTTTTAATGTATAGTACTTACTAGCTATCTATTTCTTAGAAAATTCCTATTTTCTGTTTTGAGAAAGAATGGCACTCTAGACTTTCTCATGCAATAATTATGTTTTTAACAAGTCAGTTGACTTTTCTGGTACATTTAAAGATGCTTTTTCCTTCCATCTCCATTAGTTGTAATCAAATTGTAGCAAGAGAAAAAGACTAACATGTTTCTTTTTGTTTTTTTCTTCTGGAAACAAAAGTTAAGTTTTTACCACCTGTTCAAAGAATAAACATTACCTCCTCAGTTTCAGACCTAATCATATTTTGTGAAAATGAATCACTGACACTGGTGGTCTGGTGTCATTGTAGCAGTTGGTGCAACACCTACTGTCACAGGATTTTGACTCCTTGAAGGCAGGCGCCAGGTCTTTTATATTTGTCAGTAACAGGTTCATCCTCCTGTTTCTTTCTCTTGGCATTTTGGCAATAAAATATGTGAATTAGAATTATCATAATAGAGGTGGCTATCTAATAATAAATAGAATGATATAGAAAGTTACCAGAGAATTAAAAAGCTTCATAGAGATCAGTGATTATAATACTTTAGATAGGAATTGCAGAAAAGTATTTTGTAAAATTGCATTGCAAGATAATCTGCTTTGTGATTGAGGGAGGGCAGGCAAATGAACTGTGTTCATGTGTATTGCACACTCAGTATGATACAGTTTTTATATGTAAGTCCTGAAAATAGATTTGAGCTTTGTTCTGTGGACCATGGGACCTGTACAGTCAATAGTGAATTGTTCAGGAATTGGGTCCAGATTATCCTGAATTCTTTGTGGTAGAGCCTTTGAAAGGGCTTAGGAAATACTCAGGAGAGCTGTTTCATGACCAGAAGAGACCAGGAGTCTGCTTCTGCAGCAGTGCTGGTACTCAAATAATCCTGACCCAGGAGACTAGCACACTCTTTGATCTTTAAATGATCTTTCTCCATTTTTACAAATAATGACATCGAATCTATTTTTGCTAATAGTAGAAAGCTGAATTATATGGTTTTATAATTTAATGAGGACTTAATATATGTATGGGTACCATATTTTGTTAGCACACTTTAGTAGTGTAGTCTCCTTGCTTCTTGCTTTGTTAGTGATAGTGTTTGCTTTTCAATCTATGAATGAGGTTTGTTAGCACCAAATAGGGTGTTACTTCTCACTTTGCCACTAGTAAAAGAGGTGTGGTTGAACAGCAATCTAGACTTTATCCAAAGTTGATCTCACAGCTTTCTCATATAGCTCCATTCTTTTTCAGCACACTGTGACAAGGGATCTATCCAAAGAGGTGTGATTCCCACCTCCCTGAGAAGTAAACCGAGCTGTTACAACCCAGGAGACCTGATAATTAAATTTCTAAATTTATCTTTGTTTATATTTGCCAGTGGAAGTTTCTAAATTGAAATGTTTCTACAAATTAGTTTTGTTACCTGTAACTGAAGGAGCTGGTGCAGCATATACAGATATGTCTAGCCTGCTAGTTCTGCCTGCTATATAGAGAGGGCAAAGTCCACACAAGACAGTACCAGAGATGAATTTTGATTAGTAATATTTTTCAAGTAGCCTGGTTTTTCCCCACCTGATAGAAGTTGCTACATCTTTCCAAACAGGTTCTCTAATGATCTTGCTTCACCATGGCTACAAATATGGAGGGGCTGGTTCAGCACAGAGTGGGGACCCAGCAGGTGGCTGAGGTGAGTGATAGGGGCTAGCTAGCACAGTAGCTGGCACCCTCACTTCTGAAAGGAAAAAAAAAAATTAGCATGCTCAATTTTTTCAAAACAATCCCAAGGAGGTCCCCATGTGATATGTCCTAGTGTGCTGTTACAGAAGAAAAAAATGACAAAAACATTTATTTGTAACTTTTATTTTTTTGCATGAGTAGAGTGGCCTATCTGGATTTAATTAAGGTGACTTGAATGTTTACCTTGAACCAAAAACTGGTAGAATCTGATTCTTACTGAACCTTGTGGGTATAGTTATAGTTTTAACTCCAAGGCTCTGTCTTAATTTCTCATACACTTTTTTCTTTGTTAATACTGTGGAATAGTAGAAAGTCTGATTCTGTGCATTCAGCAGTTGTTGACAATTTACCATGGACCAGGGATGGTGCTAAGTATGGAGGTGAATGAGTCATGGATTGTTCCCTTTAGCGATCTTGAGGCCTGATAATGGAGTTATTTTATTATAAAACAGGTTGAGAAGTATAATTTCACGTGAGAGATTTGATTCTGGAGGTGGTTCTTCAATTATGAGTAAGCATTTGTTAAGACAGACCCAAGTAAGTCGGGTGGGGATCTTTGTGGCAGACTCTGGGGAGAGCATCCAAAGTTAGAAACCTATGTAAAAGGATATAGGCATCAAATAGCTTTGCATCTTCAGGCAACTTGACATGAAACGCACATTAAAGCTATCATCACTAATAGCATACTTTGAGCATTCACTCTGTTCCAGGCCCTATGCAAAGGCTTTAATCCTCACAGTAACTTTCTAAAGTTGGTACTGTCAATACTCTCATTTTGTAGGTAAAGAAACCAAGTAGTGGCTGGGTGCGGTGGTTCACGCCTCTAATCCCAGCACTTTGGGAGGCTGAGGCAGGTGGATCACGAGGTCAAGAGAGCGAGACCATCCTGGTCAACATGGTGAAACCCTGTCTCTACTAAAAATACAAAAAATTAGCTGGGCATGGTGGCGCGTGCCTGTAATCCCAGCTACTCGGGAGGCTGAGGCAGGAGAATTGCCTGAACCCAGGAGGCAGAGGTTGCGGTGAGCCGAGATCGCGCCATTGCACTCCAGCCTGGGTAACAGGAGCAAAACTCCGTCTCAAAAAAAAACAAGTAGCAAAGAATAATTAATTAGCCAAAGGCACACTGTAGCAGGACAAGATGCTAACCCAGGTCTGTTCACTTCCAAATCTCTTCTAATTAACCATAGTCCTACTGCAACCAGGAGCCAAAAGGTTGAGATTAACATTTTTTCAATAATGCTTATATTTCTAGGGCAAAGACACAAATTTGCATTCAAAGAGAGAATTTTTTAAAAACATAAACTAAGATACATATAGTTTAAACCAATAAAAATGATGAGCAGATTTTTTCAACCATTAACTTAAAGGCAACAATATATCTAGTTACCTACCTCCCCTTCCCACCCAGCAAATAGTAATTAATTTCAGTTAATAGTAACTGAAAATGAAAGAAGATAGATTTCACAAATATTTTAATATTATATTTTTGAATGGATTATCAGATTTATAGAAGTATTAGGATTATATGTTTGTACAACAGGTCGTCATTTAACATCATCGGTGGGTTCTTGGAAACCAACTTTAGGTAAAACCACACATAACAAAACCAGTTTTACCATAGGCTAATTGATATAAATAAGCATTAAGTTCCAATGGCATATTTCTAGTCAGAAAATCACCACATTTCTAAATAAAGATACAGAACACCTGCAGTATTAAATATTGAAATAAATGTGAGCTCTATGTATATTTAAGATTAAAGACTATAAAAACAAGAAAATTATTTGTGTAATTTTTGGTGAATCAGTGAGTGATGGCAGTCATAGTGTGGTGGGCTATATTAAGGAATAATTGTTTGCAAAACAAAAGTTGTCAGGAGTTCCTCCTACCTGTATTCAGTCAGTCATAAGTATGGCAGGCTCACTGAATGATTTCTTAATGCGTAGTTTATTGTCGTGCATTTGTATGATTACTGTGGACTTTATGAATTTTTATTTTACAATAATTTGTATTCATTCATTCATTTCCCAACCCACTTATTCCAGTTCAGGATGATAGGTGGCTGGATCCTGTCCTGGCAGCTCAGGCCACAAGGCAGAAACACTCCTGACCAGAACACCATCCCATCATAGGGTATACTCACACACATACCCCCACTTAGACTGGGATAATTTAGACACACCAAGTCACCCCACACGCACATCCTTGGCATGTGGTAGGCGAAGCTGGAGTACCTGCAGAGAACGCATGCAAACATGGGGAGAACATACAAACTCCCCACAGACAGTGGCCCTGGCCTGGAATCACTTTTTTCCTCATCAACAAACATAACAAAACAACATTATTTGAGGACTTCTGTATTTATTTGTTGCTTTATTTTGTGATAGGAGTAATTACCTTGAAAATAATTGTTAATTTTTCAGATAACTGTGTTTCCATTTGAGGCTGATTTGGAGACTACTATATGGATTGCTGCCCTTAGAGGCCATCATTAATTCTTTATCTTTCTGTAGCACAAGTCATCAAGCAACATCACTAATTCTTTAGGAAAGAGGTTAATACAGGCTAATATAAGTTCTTTGCATTCAAAAAGTTTGCTAGCTAACATTTTCTGCCAGATACCTTATTTCCTCCAGGTAGTGAAATTTCATATATTAACTTATTTCAACTGTTGTTTTCCATGGCAAAAAAAAAAAAAAAAAGCATTTTTAGAGACTCAGAATAATGAAAGCAGTCTCAATTTTGAATGCAAAAACGATCTTTCTATTTAAAATATTTTCTAGATTTTCTTGCTGTTTTTTTGCTTGTTTGTTTTTGAGAAGGAGTTTCACTCTTGTTACTCAGGTTGGAGTGCAATGGCATGATCTCAGCTCACTGCAACCTCTGCCTCTCAGGTTCAAGCGATTCTGTGCCTTAGCCTCCTTAGTAGCTGGGATTACAGGTGTGCATCACCATGCCTGGCTAATTTTTTGTAATTTTGGTATAGACTGGGTTTCACCTTGTTGACCAAGCTGGTCTTGAACTCCTAACCTCAGGTGACCAAAGTGCTGGGATTACAGGCATGAGCCACCACACCTGCCTCCTTGCTGTTATTTTTAAGGAATAAGTATGTATTTGTGTCCTTTGAATTTTTGGGCTTAATAATTTTAAACTGCATATAATAACTATATATGATATTTGATTAGCTAAATGAGTAAGAGGGCCTACAGTTCATCATTTTAATGCTAAGCAGTAATGGGGTGGGGATAAAGTATCCTAACTTAGAGATAATAAATAGTTTTGGATAATTGTTTACTCAGTCAGCAATGGAGTTCATAATTAAGGAGCATACCTGTTCACTTCCCATAGGTCAGGGAGGATACGCTGGTGGGTAATAGGACGGGGCTTTTGCTTTCCCAGAGCTCTCTAAGGGCATAAGCCTGAGATGGGCTACAGTAGAGGTATGAATAGGAAAGACAGGATCTTGGTAGAAAGAGACTCTATCAAGTGAGATTGTGAGCCATGAGATCAGACAGGTTGGAGTTTAAATCCTTGTCTCTATTAAACAATCAAAAAATTTGGCTGGATATGGTGTTGCCTGCCTGTGGTCTCAGCTACTGTGGAGGCTGAGGTTGGAGGATCACTTGATCCCAGGAGTTCAAGCCTACAGTCAGTGAACTATGATCATACCATTACACTCCAGCCTGGATGACAGAGTGAGACCCTATCTCTAAAACAAGTTTTTCTAGAAACAAACTTTAGTAAGTGCCATGTTTTTTTGCTTCATGAAATAACAGCAATGTGGATTATGTAAATGATATTTTTTTATAGTAGAGTCCTCATTCAGCCTTTTTCTCTGTAGATTACCTAAGTGGCAAATACCAAGATAAACTTCAAAAGTTGGGTGATACAAAATAACAATTTGATGTCCTATAATGTACTCAAATTTAGCTATTCAGAGAGACAGTTGAATATAGTGGTCAATAGTGTAGACTTTGGAGCCTGATTGCCTAGATTTAAATCCTGGCCCTGCCACTTGCATGCAGTGTAACCTCTCTGTTTTTTGGAATTGTTTATAAAGAATTGGTATTAACTTTTCTATTAAAATCTGGTAGAAGTAGCAGAGAAGCCATCTGGGCCTAGCCTTTTCCTTTTCAGGTAATTTTTGGGTTACTAATTCAGTCTGTACTTGTTACCGGTCTGTTCCCATGTTGTCCATTTATTCTTGAGTCAGTTTCAGTAATTTGTCTTTTTGGGACTTTATTTCATTTAAGTTATCTAATTTGTTGGTGTACAGTTCTTCTCGTGTTCCTTTATGATACTTTTCTGTAAGTCAATGGTAATTTATCCTCTTTCATATGTGATTCTAGTAATTTGAGTCTGCCCTCTTTTTCTTGGTCAATCAGCTAAAGGTTTGTCAACTTACTGATTTTATTTTTTCAACAAACCAGCTTTTTGGTTTAATTGATTTTCTCTATTGTTTTTCTGTTTTCTGTTTCACTAATTTTCATTCAAAACCACAGTGATATACTATGTCACATCCACTAGAATGGGTAGAATATAAAAATCAGATAGTAAACATTGGCAAGGAAGTGGAAAAATTGGAAACCTCATACGTTGCTGGTGGGAATATCGGCCAAAAGTCCATTAACAATGAAATGACTGAAACTTGATTTTAAAAACAATATGGTTTATTTAAAAAAAAAAATAGCTGAGAATGGGAGAGATGAGATGGCAGATGATAATTGGTAACCAAAGCAGTGAGAGCTAGAATCATATCTAACACTGGAATTAATTTTGCTTTTCATATATTAAAGAAATGAAATTTTCTAAAGGGGCTTCAGAATTTTTTAAGCATTTCAGATTTTCCTCTGTAACTGGAAATTTAAAGCAGACAGATACACATATTGTGTGTTTCTTCATTGTCTAAATAAAGATACTTTTTAAACTTCATAAGATATTTTGAGT